GCTCGCCGCGGCGCTGGGCGCCCTCCACTACCTGGCACTTTTCCTGCAACTCGGCGGCGCCACGCGGCCCGCCGGCCACGCGCCCTGGGACAACCACGTCTCTGGCCACGGTGAGTCCGGCCGCCGCCCCCACGGACTTCCCTACCAACCCCACCCCGGCAGCGCCGCTCCAACTTGGCCGCCCCTGGGCTCGAACCCACGCCGGCCAGTCGTGGCGGGAGTCCCCGCACGCCCCCGGCTGGGTTTGTACATCCACCCTGGCACCCCGACCAGCTCTGCGGAGGCGGGGGTACGGGAGCGCACCCCTGCTGTCAGGCTGAGGAACCCCTTCCCATGCACACACACACACACACACACACACACACACACACAAATGCTCACTCGGATACACACACCTCCACGACCACACAAGACATACGCATCCACAGCTGCCGACACGCTCACCTTCCCACACAACTACCCGCACACGGCACACACCTTACAGCCCCCCTCCTTGCTCATAAATGCGTCCACTTGTGCCCACTGCACAGCCGGCACCCACGCACACACGCTTTGCCACAACTCTTGCCTGACTACCTGCAGACACGAGGACACACACACACACACTTGTGCACACACTGCCCACCCGCTTGTCTCTGCCCATCTGTCTTTCCCCTGTGTGGGTTTATGCTTGTCCCTTCCCTCTCCATTCTGCCCCCCTGGGCCCGTGGGAGTGGGCGGGTGGGGACAGTAGCCCCAGCCTCTGGACACCTGCTAGTCTGATGGCAGCTGCCCTGCCAGGTGGGTGGCATCTCAGGGGTGAGAGCTTGGTGGAGGCCCCCCAAAGGACACCTGGGATAGTTGCTGTGGCTATTCTAGCCAGGGGTGAGGAGTGGAGAGGAAGACTCCAGGCTTTGTCTGCCCCTGTCTCCTTCATTGGGGTACCTCCATCTCCCCCGTGGCCCTACACACTGGAATGTGAGAAACCCCAACTCCAGTCGCCACCGGAGATGAGCAAGAACCCCAGCACTGCTTTTCCAAGTGTCAGAAGCTCCTTCTTGCCCCAGAGGAGCCCAAGTTGGCAGCAGAGTTGGGTGGCGTGGGGTAGAGAGCTATGGGACTTCCCTGCCTCCTGTAAACCCGGCGGTGGGAGGGGGCAGGGGGCAGCTGAAAGTAACCATGCATCACTTCCCCACATGGACTGGACTGGAGAGCACCAATATCCTCCGTGGTGTGTCCAGGGCTGGGGGAGGTTTGTACAAAGGGCAGGGAACAGAGTGCTTCTGAAGGGAATGAACCCGAGGTGTGTGGAGAGAGGTAGACCCCCAGGAAAGGCCCTGCTGGGACATGATGCCCCTGTGAGATTGCCCCCCCCCCCAGGGAGGGAGATTCCCAAACTGCTCTCAGGGTCTCTGCGTTGGGGGAGGGGGGAGAATCTATGGCTCCTTATACTCCCTTGCTTCACAGCATTGGATAGCATCCACTCTGTGTCATTTATACACCCTTCTTATCCCTTATCTATTTCTACCATCCGGGCTGAAGCCATAGTAAAGAGGGGGGAAAAAGAGAGGTTATTTTGATCCTCAACTTGCCAAGGGAAACCAAAGCTCAGAGAGGTGAAGGGAAGTGGCCAAGGTCACACAGGGAGAGAGTAGCTGAGCCAGGACGGGCCCCAGGGTGTCAAGCAAAGGCATGGATTTCTCCAGGACACTCATCCATCTCCCTGTGGGATTCCCTCTCATTCAAGGGAAACTGAGAATTTCCTCTGGCTCGCTCCACTCCTTGGCACAGTTGGATGTGACACTAGGAGACTTGCCCAAGGGAGGACTTTCCTGAGTTTGTGCTCTGAGGTTTAAGATCATCCTGTTTCTGGGCCACCAGACCCCCAGGGACTTGAGGGAAGCAGACTCTGCCCTCTGTGTCAGTCTCTGCCTGCCCCCTCTGGTGCCAGGTACGGGTGAGGGGCACAGCTTTGGCCCCCAGCTGTGATCTCCCACCCAACACCCTGGAGAGGAGCAGCTTAGGCACCCAGAGAGGAGACGCTGGGTGGGAAGGGGAGAGCACTGGCTGTGTCCTGACCCCCTGTGTGTCTCTGGGTCAGCCCCTCTGTCCCTCAAGAAATGAGGCCTCGGAGATGCTCTGCAGGGGGCAGGCTGCCTTTTTCCGACATTGACAGGTTCAAAGTCACCAAGTAGTGGCTGCGGAGGCGCCTCACAGCTGCCCCTCGGCCGGGCCAAGCACCCGCCGCCACAGGGAAGGTTTGGAGCCACTCACTTAATCACAAAAAGAAACTGTTATTAATGATAGTGAGACGCTGCGAATAAGTGGGTCATGTCTAATAAGCCATTTGTGTTCAGGAGGAGAATACCAATTTGATAAAAGCTGTGTGTGCTGAAAAAGCTCCGAAATTGCTGTTTAGCAGATTGGAGCCTGATCGTTTCATTATTCCTGGGCTCCCGGTGTCCTCGGCTGGTTCAGGAAATGTGGCCAGGTCAGAGAGGTGTCCGTATCTGAGGGTGAGGGATGAGCCTAGAAGCAGGGACTCCTGGAGGGGAACCCGTGGACCTCTCAACCGAGTGGTGGCTGCTCACAGCTTCAGCTCTGTCTGTGTCCAGGCCAGCAATGGGCTAGCTCCTTGGGCCTGCCTGCCCCAGAGTTATCACAGGGAGAGCCAGTGGGGGGGGGTGGAGGGGGGTGCTGGGAGGGGGGGCGTTGGCCAGGGTCTCTGCTTCTGGCTTCCTACCTGCCTCCCACCTCCAACCCACCCACTTCCAAGGAGGCTTTGTGAATACGCACAGAATGCATGGTATATGGTTCTAAGAAGGCGTCAGGAATTGGGAGATGGGGTGTATACACATTAATAGGTACTCAATAAGAGGTGGCTGTTCAGACTTTCTTTATTGGAAAGGCTAGCTCATGGCCAGAAGTATTGTGGGATGCAAAGAAAGGGACCTGGCATTGATGAAGTACTTACTATGTGCTGGGCACTCCATGCCCTTTGCCAGTGTGAGTGCACACAGCCCAGAGTCATCATTCGAGGCTGGTGCTGAACACAGGAGGAAACTGAGGCTCAAGGAGGACTGATGACTTGCCCAAGGTCACTGAGTCTGTGCAGTGAGTGAGCTGCAGGACTGATTTCACGGTGAAGGTGTGTCAAGGTTTTGGATCTGCTTGAAACAGACTTGACCCAGCCTTGTGGCTGGATCTTCTTCTGTGTCACTTTAACCAGGTGTGTCCCTGCCAGCTGCTCAGGGAGCTGGTAAAGCACTGGCTTTCAGTCAGAGGAGTGAGTCAGTGGCTCACAAAGGTGACAACACCTGGACACAGCCACGTGCATGTTTGAAAGAAGCTGCTAGAAGGCAGTCAGGGCAGGGATGGAAGGCAGGCTCTCTGCAGGGATGGAAGGCAGGCTCTCTGTAGGCCCCTAGCCTCAGAATCTCTCACCCCTACCAAGGAGGTGGCTCTAATGCAGATTCCCCCTAACACTAGCATATTGGGGTCCTAGGGTGGACATTTTTGAGGTGCTGGGTGCTAGGCAAGTATTCTATGGACCTATATCCCTCCCCTGGAATCTGCATTTTAATCCATTCCTCCGGTGATTCCTGGGGAGTTAGGAAGCCAGTGCCATACCTGATGGGAATCTGGTGTGGACATTTGGGGAACACAAGAGTTTCAGTCCACACTGAGCCAGTTATTTGTACCCTGAGAGAAGCCCCAGGAAGCCCACTGCATCACTATCCATCCTCTCCCGATACACACACACACACACACACACACACACACACACACCCCTAGTCCAGCACCTTCAATTATTAATACTCCCCAGTGCAGACAAAGATCCTGGCTTGGCCTGCTGGCGCTTTGTCCATTGACTGATTCACTCTGTGTTGCCAGGAGGAAGCAGCGGGGTGCTGGGGGAAGGTGGGGCCACTGGGCCATTTGGCAAGCAGCCTGGGCACTGAGAAATGACTCTGGCTCCCTGCGCTCCATACCAAACTGTGGGTACCTCATCATCCATAAGCCGGCTAGTTTGGTGGCTGGAACATGGAGAAAATTGAGTCCTGTCTTGCGAAGGTTATGATGTTAAAAATGTGCTCGCCTTTGTCTCCGGCATGGGTGATTAGTGTATCAATTACGCTGGTAAACACCACACGTTGGGCTGGAGTTTCCTGCCTCCGGTGGGGAGCTGGCCCTCACAAGTGCTTTTCCCTGGGGCCTTCACACCAATTGGTTTTGACATCAGGGACTCCAGCCGCCTTTTCCTCAAATGAAGGGAGTCGCAGGTGGTCAGGAAGGAATCGGGAAGTCTGCTCCTTCCCACCATGACAGCAAAGGTGGAGGACAAGTATCCCAAGAGCAAACAAGAGACTGTCCCTTCTGATTCGCAGGAGAAAGAGAGCATTTAGAACAAACAGTGGAGACCCCTTAGGAAACTCTTCCCCAGCCCCCTCTCTCAGGGCGGGGAGGACCCTGCCAGGTGGGGCCAGCTGGTCATTCCCGGCTCAGGACTCACGGGGGTGACACAGAGGCGCAGTTCTATCGAGGGCCATCTCGCTGCTTAAGTGGCAGCATCTCATCTCATCCCCTAAGAACCCAAGGAGGAGAGGACTGTATAAATGTGGAAAATGGGTCTGGGAAAGGCTAACCCCAGAGCTGGTAGCTCATTCCTGTTATCCTAGCTACTCAGGAAGCTGAGACCTGAGCATCAGGGTTGGAAGCCCTCCTGGGCAGAAAAGTCTCAGGAGACTCTTACCTCCACTTACAAAGAAAAAGAAGAAGGAGGAGGAGGAAGAGGAGGAGGAGGAAGAGATGGAGGAGGAGGAGGAAGAAGAAGAGGAGGAAGAGGTGGAGGAGGAGGAGAAGGAGGAAGAGATGGAGGAGGAGGAAGAGAAGGA